CTTTAGTAGCATTCCGCCTTATTAGTTTCTTCTTTGCATCAATTAGACTCACCTGAAACGGTTTGTATTGTCTTCAGTCGACAGGTCTCGGCCTCAGACGCAACGTGCAGCAAAAATTCGGATCCCTTTCGGTGTCCTTTTTATAAGGGTGCCGTACGATTTTGGGGACCTAAAAAAGGAACCTAGTTTAGAGAACTACCCATGTCCTTTCCGTGTGCTCGGAGCAGCATTCCCTAAGCCTCCAGGTACCCCTACGATGGAGGGTACGAGAACCCCTTAGGGCCCTACGTAGTAGGTACCTGGAGGGTTTTAGGGATTGTTCGACCTCTCAATTAAAACCCTAGAACCCTTAACCCCTGAACCCTAGAACCCCAAACCCCTAAACCCCAAACCCCCAAACTCTAGAACCCTAAACCCTAAACCCCTAGAGCCCAAACCCCCTGAACCCTTAGAACCCCCAAACCCCGAAACCCTAAACCCCTAAACCCTACTAGAACCCTAGACTCCAGAACCCTAAACCCCAAGCCCTAGATGTCGGAAGCGAAGACGAGGCCTGATTCCGAAGGAAACCATCGATGCTCGAACACCTTCGCCGACGGTGGTCTCCAAGACTGGAACAGAGATCCGAGGCTTTCAAGGGTTTGGGTTTAGGGTTTCGGGTTTTTTGGGTTTGGGGTCGAGACTGGAACAGGATCCGAGGCTTTCAAGGGTTTGGGTTTGGGTTTAGGGTTTCGGGATTTTTTTGGGTTTAGGGTATAGGGCTTTGGCGTGAGGGGAGGTAGGTAGGGTGAATTTGGGGTGTTACGAGTTTGTCAGTCTTGCTCTTAAGATTTCTTGGGGTCTGAGATTTCTGCATTTCGAAGAGCTAAAAGATGGCCCGAAACCCACATTCCTCTCAAGCAGTTTTACATATGAGTCTCCATTTCCTGAAACAGTCCCGGCTCGATGCGTTCGCATCGACCGGGGGTTGTCTTCGAGTCTAAGGTGAACTTGGAGGCTCTTGAGGGATGTGCGTACGGTCGTTCGTTTACTGTAGCGGCCTTCATACTTAGAATAGGATTTTGGGGCCCATTATCCTATAATTATATACTAATGAACCCCCACAATAATATAGGTACAGTAATTATTGAAGCCCCTACATAAGGTCTGAAGGTTAATTAGCCAGGGTTGATGTTTACGGGTTCGGAGCTCAATGGGTTGAACTTGTGGGCTACTGTGCTCAGGGTTAGCCGTACTGCTGGGTTTTGGGGGCAACAAGCTTCTGCGAAGCTCCAAGTGCAACAGGTTCACGGGGACCCAGGAGCAGGACGAGCATGCGCCGGCGCAGCATGCCTGCACGACAGTGAGCTTGAAGCTCGTCAAACTTTGTGGCTGAATGCCGTTTTTTCCCGATTTGTTTATGATGCAGTATAGGGGTTCTGCACAACTGTCACGGGAACTCACCCCCACCAACAACACCACAACGACCAGCAACACCACCAACCACCACCAACCACCACCACCACCCACCACCACCCACAACCAGCAGCAGCGGCAGCAACGTGGCACTTTGACGCACTAGAAGAGGGACCCTAAACCCCAAACCCTAAACCCCTAAACCCCTAAAGCCCTGAAGCCCTAAACCCTAAAACCCTAAACCCCTAAAGCCCTGAAGCCCTAAACCCTAAGAGGCACCCGAGAAGTTCGAGAGCTGAGAGGCTCGGCAACCCTAAACCCTAAACCCTAAACCCTAAGCCCAAAGCCCTAAACCCTAAACCCTAAACCCCTAAACCCCTAAACCCCTAAACCCCAAACCCTAAACCCCATAAGAGGAACCCGAGAATTTCGAGAGCTGAGAGGCTCGGCTTCACATGGGTAGTGGTCAAAATTATGGTCCCTTTTGGGGTACCCTAAATAATAGGTGCCGTATTATAATAAGGACCCAAAAAGGGACCATAATTCTGACAACCACCCATGTATCCCAAACCCTATTCTAATTATAGTATAGTATA